AAGTCATGAAATAATAGTATTCTGTAATTATATGGCATCAACTACTGAAAAATATTTCAAAATATAACTTCTAAGGTCATGTTAACATAACTTAAGACTCAGAGTATACCCACTAGTAGATATTTTTTCATACAACACAACTAAAGCTTATAAAAAGCTTATTAAATCTTTTCTTTCTTGTCCTTTTGGGTTTTCCCCAGAGGACACCTATTATGTATTTCTACTGCCTGTTGTATACACCAGCTGTGTTTTTGCTGCCAGATGTTGCACCAGAAATGTCAGTGCTGATTGAGGCAGGGAGTGAATGTAATTAGAGGTGCTCTGGTGACAGCTTGACACTTAATGGTGGCAAAATTTAAATTTCTAAACAGGCATGTAACACAAAAACCCACACAACTTGGATTCTTCCAAAAGCTGGACCAGTGCTACACTGCCATCATTTATCAGGGAGATGCAAAGATCAGTGTGCCAGCAGAAGGCCAAATGATTTGGCTGTTATTTGTAAAATATCTGAAACTAGTTTCTGAAGCACATTCTGCATGCTGTAACTGTGAGGAGTCCAGTTTTCCAGGGCAGTAAGGAATGCTATTGGTTTAAAGTAGTTAATTGTTTTTATACTGAGACATTTGTTACCATAAATATACAAAATAAATAAAATAAAAAGCTTGAATGCTATTTTCACTACTCATGTGATTAGTTCCCATTTACTATACTTCTATCACTCACTTTCTACTTGTCTGTCTACTTTTTCAAATAAACTGTAGGAAATCAACTTATAATCTATAAATTAAAACTTTGAACAAATTCATTAAGTATAATGTATCAGGTACATTTAGTAGTAGAAATACTCAGTATGACATAGTTTAGTGTAGTCATGAGTAATAGAAAAAACAAAAACAGTGCAGCTTAAAAAGTTTGCAAGTGACTGAGTAATACAAGTTAGCTGCTGCATGCTGGCTTCCTCTGTGCATAACCCATTATAATAACATAGTTTAAAGTATCTTACTGAAACATATCTGCAATACTGTATTTGTGTACCAGAATTGCTTAGATGCTTTTGACAGCAATTGAGTTCTACCTGGTAGTTTAGGACAGGTAAACAGTAATCCATGCTGCAGGAATAATTTGGGAAAAGGGTACTTCTCCAGATTTTGGCCAAGATTTGGCAAAAATTTATAAATATTTATTCTTGTGGAAAATATAATGGGCTCAAAGTAATTCTGACTCTTTGTTCTCTCTTGAAAAGACAGTTTTTCCAGAAATTGCTGGGTCACAGGGAGGAACATTTAATTTGGAATGACACTATACATATTTTCTCTTCACATAAAAGTGTTCACAAGTAATTTTCTTCCGCATGTCAGTGGGTCAATCTAAGTCTCAGGTTTATCTTGTATTAAGATAAATTTGAAACGTACCATCAGAATGTGGACAGTAGCACTCTGTTTACCTTTTGCCCACCAGTTCTGGAAGGGATGAGACTCATTATATTTACAGGTGGTATCAGTGCCTACAAACTTACAGTGTGATTGGTACCTCATCTCCCATAAGAACTTGCTCCACTTGGAGACTGTCCTCTCCATTTTCCCCATACATAAGTCTTTTTCAAAGAGTATTGAAAACTGAGAGCAGCAGGATCATTGAGGATCCCAGAGCCAGGATATCATAACTACTTATCTCACTTGTGAGACATTGGAAAAAAGAATAAATCAACAAAGGAAATGTTTCACCTGGCTGAAAAGAAAATACAATCTATTTTCCAGGAATTACCTACATTTTTGATTACCTTATTTGGGCATCTCTGCATGTGATCACATGTGTTGATGTTGTCTGGAAATGTCTGGCTGTGACAGGGTCAACACACTCATCCTATCCAGAACCAATATACACAGAAAAGCAGGGGGAAGCATCATAAAATGACTTGCACTGTACCATTCAATTAGAATTTACCTCTAGTGTTGCTTTCAATTTAAAATCTTTACTATTTAATTTTATTTTTACTATTTTTAATCTTTTTCACTCTTTAAAATGTTTAATCACTATTTTCTCTCTCTCTCTCTTTTTTTTTTTTTTTTTTTTTTTTTTTTTTTTTTTTTTTTTTTTTTTTTTTTTTTTTTTTTTTTTTTTTTTTTTTTTTTTTTTTTTTGTTAAAATATTCATTATTTTAATTATATTTTCCTTGGTCTGGGATCTTCTAATTCTTTATTACTGTATGTACTGAGCACCAAATCTGGCAGAACTTTCAAGGCAGAATGGTGTGGTACAGTTGAAGACTGTGAGTGTGAATTCATTGGGGAATATCTGCAAAATATTATCACCTTTCCTTGGAGTTAGAAACATATATCTGTTCAGACCTTTCTCAGTTACATGATCTTGACATTGTGCCTGAAGTTATCTCAGCTTTTGTGAATTTGTTTCAGATTCACTTTCTCATTTCATGCTGCTAAGTGAGCACTCTCCCTGCATTCACCACTTCCTGGGAATTTCACTGTGCTGTGCTGGTCAGTGAGCCACTGCAGTGCACTTCTCCCTCCCTGCAGTGAGGCATATGAGTCTGAAATTGCAGTGTGGATAGATCTGCAAGTTTTCCTCTCCGCCAATGGTTTCACATTACAAGGACAGGGCTAACACAATTGAATGCCAAGATATGAACAGCTGGTAGCCAAAGGCGAATGAACCAACAACCATGCAAAATTCACAGAAAGTAAAAAATTTCTTTCAGTCCAACAGTTACTACCTATTGCCTCTGAATATGTTCTGTGGCCAAAGCAATAGGCAGTTTTCTCCTTTCATCTGGGAACAAACTTTTTTTTCAGTAAAAGCAGTATATTGCAAGTGAACAACTTGGAAAAAACCCTGCTGTTAAAATTTTCCAGAATTAACACTCAAAATTATGTGTATTCTCAAAAATAGGAGAAGTAAAGAGAATGAGAAATAATCTAGACACTAAGTGATCACTCAGATTAGTTTAAAGCTAAGTGTTATGTAACACTGTTCTTAATCTCTGGGAACGAGGGAGTGTACTAAGAATGTACATATTTCCTTCAGGATTCTAATTAAATTTAGAAACTAACATGATCATAAAATGTACATGTTAGGGTTTAATTTTAGGTCAGAGTCATGTGTTAAAGAATATTGATACCCTTGATTTTAAAAACATTAGCCCGAATCATGTAGCACAACCTCATTTTGATCATTCTGTGTTTAGAAAATGTACAATTACTGATGCTGGCAAGAAGTCACACTAAGGGCAAATGGGATTCGTAAGAAATGAAACTGCATGTCAATAGCAAAATAGAAACTGAAATGAATAATCAAATTGGCAGATCATTCATGCAGCCTAGGCAGCAAAGTCCAGATAAATGGTCTTGAAAGCCAAAAACATCCTCTATAGCAAGTGCTTAAATCATCAATTTGAAAAAGTTTTTAGCGCAAAATGTTGCAATAAATTTCATAATACTTAAAATGTAAAGTGATTTCATGGCTTCCACTGCTGACCTTAGCACAGTAATAATTCTGCAAACAAACAAAGTAGGAAAAAATTTATTTGAAACCATTGGACATATGTATTAATAGGGAAGATTCCTTCCCCATTACTTTTTTACAATGCCCAAATTCTAGAGACTTTGTCAGCATCTCTTCTGGTGGAAGCAGGGCAGAATTCTAGGATGTGAAGGTGAATAGCTGCAGCAACACTCCCATGCTCTTGACTGTTGGGTTACAGCTCCTATAGGCAGCAGCACGTATACAGGAAATGTAATAATGAACAATCTCTGGCATTGAAAACATCTATCAGTTACTGCAGCACTGAAAATGATGACTTCCAGCTTATTTGAAGGAATATGTTTGGGTAACTTTTGGTGTAACCAGTAAAATGCTCTTAATACCGTTACAGAGTAATACACTACATAGGTACATACAGTACTTATGTTCAGTCAAAAACATTAAAAAAAAAAAGAAAAATTAGAAAAAATTTCATTTTTCTGTAAAGGCTTCCCTTTTTTTCTCCCCAGTGTTCTCCAAAGGAGTGTGCATGTCAAGAACACAGACAGAATATTTACACATGTACCAAGAATTCAGTGAAAGAGAGGGAGATAATGTGTAACATCTACATAGCTGGTCAAAGCCTATATCCTGAAAATCCCTCTTCTATTTCCATGACTGGCAGCATGACAATGCATATTAGAATGAGTGTGAATCCACCAGGTGCCACGCTCCCGCCCCGCACAAATAAAAGTAAACACTAAGCAATACCTGTTCTGGATGGAAGTGAGGCTTAAGCCCTGCTTAAGCACATTATCAAAGTTTAAGGAAGATCATAGGCTTGGCAAAAGTATGGTCTCTTTAAACCTTATTCCTGCTACATAACATATAAATACATTTTAGACACTTTGCATTAATTTCTATACTCTTGTCATAAAAGGTCTACTAATTTAGAACTTTATGTTGGAAATAACATAGATATAAATGGTTCATGTGTACTACCCAATTATTTAAATGCTTAGGGTTAAGACAGAAGGAGAAATTTTAAGCTGTTTTCAAACTACTAAAATACTCCTCATGTCACTTTGCCTAAGTTGACAGATAAAGGAAGGCAGGGATCTAGTTAGGTCTCTGGAAAGAGTACCTGGAGCCTCAGCAAATAGTGGAGCATGTAGCTAGAAGAAAATGTAGGTGCAGAAAAATGGATTGCACTCAGTAGAGTTCAGGCCATTCAAACCCAGCACTTGTTTTTCTGTATTGCACAGCACACCAGATGAAATTCTGTGGCCTACTTGTGCATAAGTTTGAAAAAGATGTCTGTAATGGCCTGCTTTTGCCTTCAGTTCCTGTGTCTGATTTTCCTTTAGGCTACACTTTTCACTGCTCTGGCCTATATTTAGGCATGCTTAAAAGCATTTTTCTACTGCTACAACAGAGTGAAGGAGTTTCAGAGTAAGTAAATAATACCCCCAGATTCTATTTAGCTTCAACATAAAAGTTTTTATAGGAATATCTCTTACTTCTTTTTCCATTTGAAGTCCTTCTGCTCTGATATTTCTCTCAAATACTTCCCTCTTCTCTGTCTGTGGATTAGATTTTCTATACACAAGGATGTAGTCAATCCGACATTTCCCATCTCTAAAATATAGTCCGTTTGTTTTGTTCTTATCAGGTACTTCCTGCAAAGGGAAAATCAAGCAATTCAGTAATGCTAATTTTCCTTGATAATTGCTGCATTGCTGTTTGCATCATTGGTTTGCAATACTCAACTGGAAAGATAAGGAAACACAACAAACTGTTCAAGTTTTAGGCTCTTCACATACAGTGCTTCTGACTTCATCTGAGAGGAGCACAGACTTCCCTACTTAAGGGGATCTTAAGGGGCATCGGGTCTTAGGAAAATGCTTGAATATATGGAGGTGGGATAGGAGAGAATAGAAAACACAAGCAAACCTCCCACCCCCACCACTCTCCATAAGGTTAAGAGTACTAATAAAATAGAGCAGAGAATATTGTTACTGAAGTATAAATTTGAAATTAAGAACTTAGTATGGCTGAATGTCTTTGTACATGTGAGAAGAGAGAACATTAGCATTATCATTATCATTTACTGCAGTGAGAAACACTCAAACCTGGCATGGAGATTTTCATTACTTTGTCCTGTAGACACAGACAACATTATGAAAGTTCTGTACTGACCTCACCATACCTCATCAAACTAACTACTGACTATTCCTTGCTTAAGGAATAGCTGAGGATGGATTTAGAAAGAATTACTG